TACTTTCTCAGCTTCTTTCTTTGTTATGTATCTGTTGAGTTCTTGCTTGATCCAGTCTTGGTAACTGGATTTCACGTGGCTGTTGGTATCCTGGCTCTGTGCCTGATAGTCACTAGTATCAGATTGGTATCTGAGCAAATCTGTGACTCAGTGCTCACATAGGAATTGTTTTTAAGATTTGTTAGGCAGGCACCAGAGTATATTAAGTCAAAGGCTGAAATGTCCCCATCTGTGAGATAAGTCCTATTGAGCCCCCAGTAATCCTTCAAATTATGAGGTTTTTTTACTCTGCCTGGGGGGTGGGGGGGGTGGGTAGGAACTATTTTCTTTTCACGTGAGTACCAAGTGTTAGTTCCTCTAATAATTCTGGGCATTTTTTCCCCAGTCTGGTGTATTTTTCTCACCCACATCTACGACTCCTTTGTATATTCCGTATCAAAGAGAATGGTATTATCACCCTGCAGGACTGCCACGCGTGATACTCAGTCTTTAAGTCTCTATCATTCACCTTTACACACCTCATAAAAGGCAAAAGCTTGTTGATCTTCCTTTCTCCAAAACTCATTTTACCTGTAGCCTGCTGCCTGGTCTTCGTTTGGCAATTTCTCATCTCCTGTCTTCCTCTCAGCAGGATCTTCCTACCATCGTCTTGCTGCAGTTCCCATTCATTCTGTGTACTATAGTCAGTGGCATTTTATGATAAAAAAAAAAAATTGAAGCAAAAAGAGAAAATCTGAAACTTCAAGAGCTGTAGTGGTTTTCCCAAGATGCCTTAGCTAACGGTATTAGAGCACTTGATAAACAGTGGTTTTCCCAAGATGCCTTAGCTAGCGGTCTTAGAGCACATGATAAACCCTGGGCGAGTGGAGCCCCTGCTCTGCTCACTGTGTCCCTTTGCTGCAGTCATGTTAATGGCCACGTGTCATTTGCAGAACCCTTTCATGTTTTTCTTTGAGTAAGTTTCTGGGTTGGGGTATTAATGACTCCCACTTCTATGAGGACACATACACTCAAGAAGGCATATTTAAGGCTACTTTCCCCAGGACAGGACGCTGTTTGCTGGCTTCCAAACCCGTACTTTTAACCTTTAATACTACACGAGAATTTGCCAATGGTTGCAGATGCTTCCGGTTTGATCATGGTTTAGTCCTGGAGTGTGATCAGTTGTGCATGAGTCAAGTTATTTAATCTCTCAGTGCCTCAGCTTCTTCATCTATAAAATAGGGACTGTGTTTACTGTGTAGATTATATGAGGGGGCTTCAAAAAATGTGTGTAAAAGGCTTTTACTTTTAAATTCCATTTTTTACACATCCCCCCCCCAGTTTTTCTTGACATATATGTCTAATATCATACAATAATTTAATCATTCAGTCATATTGAGTTGTACAGTCATCATCCCAATCAATTTCTGAACATTTTCTTCTCTTAATCTTACTGTTGTTAGCTCCGTATTTTCCCCCATCTCCTTCTGCCATGCTCCTGGGTAATTATTAATTCAGTTACTCTCTCTAACAGATTTACTATCCTGTATTTTATATACAGGAAATCATACAAAACACAAGCAGGAAGCAAACAAACAAAACACCCAACAATAATAACTAAGCAACCATCAATAAAAGAAAAACCTCAATAGCAAAGAAAGCAGAAAATATTAATAAGTGAACATCAAATGATAAGATGTTAAATTTTAACTACATCTGCTGCCATAATCCGCCTTACAGTACTCTCTGTCTAATATCAAGGCTATTCATGTCCTTGTACTATGTTTAGAGGTAATTCACTGGAGGCTTCATCTATGCACACACACATTTAGAAACTCCTTATTTAGATGAATACAAAACACTATTACAGTGGCCAGCATATGCTTGAGTTCTTAATTGTTGTGATGGATTAAGATGGTGTGTTGAGTTACACGTTGGATGCTAAGATCAGCATTTCAAATCCACCAGCTACTCCTCAGGAGAAATAAGACGTTTTCTCTGCCCCTGTAAAGATTTACATAGTGGGAAACTTAAAAGGGCAGGCAGTCTTTTTGTCTTATACGGTTGCTATGAGTTGAAAGAGTTTTTAATATTGCTAATATTAACAAGCCTTCTTATATTCTATAAATTTCTAAACTTATTTGGTCTACCACTCCTTCTTCAGGGGGGGAAAAATTACTTGGTGCTCCCTGGCAATTTAAAGAGCTTTATGCTATAGCCCATAATCTAGAATAAAGTTGAAGTGTCTGTGTTTGCAGCCTTTCCGGATTATTCCAGGCCCCCAGTAAGGTGGTGTCACCCACTTTGGGAAACACGGTTTGATTCCATCGTGCATATTCTTGCTTATTCTGGATTCATTCTTCTGATGCTTAATGTTTTTTTCTCCATGCCTTGCCTAAGCAGTTTCTTCTGTTTGACTTGACCTTTCTCTTCGTTCTTCCACCCTTACTATGTCCTTAGTGCTCCCCTATTTGCTCAAATATTTTTCTGATTATTATATCCCTTGTTAACCTCTTCTTCTCTGAACTCTTATAGTATTCTACATTCTGTCATTGTTGTTTAATTTTTTTTACAAATTTTATCCTTTTCAAGTTTATTGTTATGATTTTGAGCATATAATATTTGCTCAAAAATGTCTCTAACCACTTGAGTTTTATGTGGCACACATGATGAAAGGTGTCACATGTATCAGGGATGTTTGAGCCATAAGGATGGGTAGGACGTGCTCCCTGCCCTCAAAGGATTCAAAGCCGAGTCGAAAAATTACAGCTTGTATGTGTATCGCACAGTAGTTCTCAGCTCTCTGCCGCTTTCACATCATGCGTGTGTGTGTGTGTGTGTGTGTGTGTGTGTGTGTGTGTATGTACAACTCACTTTCCGTGGTCATATTTCACTGAACACATTCACGTTTCCCTTCAAGATTGACACTCACTAATTAAAAGTTTTCCAATTAAAGTAAAAACCCTTTCTTGTGTTCTCTTTTAAGTGGCATAGCAAACAAATGAAGTAGGAAATAAATATAGCCATTAATAAGAAGGAAATTGAAATCCAGCGAGGTAGAGGCTATAATCTCACATTATAAGTGACGAAACTGGTTCTCAAAAAGGTTTTTTGTTTTTTTTCCCCAGAGTTAAATAGAAAGCAGTAATGTTGTAACTCAAACTCAGTTTTAGCATGTAGGTAATCTAACCATTGAATAATAAGTTCCTCTTGGTGTCAGCTAACAACAAAGTAAGCACTGACTTATTTAAATTTTTTATTTTAGAATCATGTAAGTGGAGAACAAAACATGAGTGTTAGAATGATGACTGTGTCGACCAACTTCACCAGTTAGCAACATTGTGCCAATGTTGTTTTATTTATCCACTTCTCCCTCACACATTTTTGTAGACTACTTTAAAGCAAATCCCAGATATGATACCATTTTACCTACCAAGATGTCAAAATGCATTGATTTCAGATTTGACTGACTACAACTGTATGAAGTACATTAATATGAAATCCCCTAATTCTATGAATAGGGTATTATTCTTTCTAGATATAGCATGATAATTAACAGATTTCCAAGTGTGTTTACTGTGTAGAACTGTAAGTCTTTTTTGAAAGTGCAGTTTCTTATGGTACAGAAATAGTTCAACTCTAGAATATTTTCTTGATATAAAACAATTAATAGAATATCTAAAGGCAATTTATCAAAAGGAAACAGTGAGCTAATTTGTACTCCCAGGAAGCACTTTTCTTGAAGAATAGGTGCTATTCACAGGACTAGAGGTTGTTTGGTTCGTTTGAATGGAACATTGCCCTAAGTGGGAGCCCACTCAGCTGCAACGAACAATAGTTCTAAACACATTGACGAAGTAGCTGATGAAAGACATTTGTACGTATTCATCTCTCATTGTACCTTCTGTGGTAGAGAAGATGTTGCTCCTGCTCTCCTCCCTCTCAAAGCTAACTAACCCGTGCATACTAGCTATGCATGACTTCCTATATGGGACTGTAAAAATTCTATGTAAAAAAATTTTATCAGGATATGTTACATGTCAAACCATTTAATAGTTCATTCACATCAAGAAAAATGGAAACATCATTACCACAATGAATTTTAGAACATTTTCTTCATTCCTCATTCCTAATGTCATTGATATTAGGATATCCCCCTTTCCTCCCAAACTTCCCTGCGATTTCCTCAAGGAACCATTAATCCAGTTAGTCTCTATAAATTTAACCTATCCTGGATTTCATATACAGGAAAACACAAAATTAACAATAATAACAAAGTAAAACAGATACAAAGCTCAATTTAAAAAAGGCAGAAAATATAAAAAATTAATACAAATTGAAATGTATCATTAGGGAGGTCAGTTGATAGGGTGCTAAATTTTAACATAACTATATCTTCAACAATCCTCTTTCCAACTCCTGTGTGGGATTTTGCAATTTCACACAGCATCTGTACTCTCTCTCATTTTCTCTCTTGTCCTGTCAGTTTATGGACTTTAAAGTGCACTCTTGTTGGTCTCAGGGAAAGGCCCAAATTCCTTAGTATGAATAAAAGTTTTTATCGTCAGCCTCCAAATTCCCTTCCCATTCTCACGTTCCACTTACCGTTGCTATTACACCTTTCCATTGTTAATGCATAATGGCAATTACGATATGCAGTAAAAATACTGTCACAGCAGCACACACATACCATATCACTGCCTCTCATTCACTCCTGCTTACTTCAAATCCACAGAATTCACCAAGCATTTAAATTATGCCATGTATTGGCCCTTTGCTAGTCTCTTGCATGTTTGCAATTATGAAATAAACAATTAATTTGAGGTTTAATGTAATTTCATAGGAAATTAGAATGATCCTATATACCAAAATACCTAAAGTTCTTTGTTTTTGTTTTAGGTGTAATTGTTTTCAATAGTATGACAGTGCTAGAAATATTACTTTATGACTTATGATTTTCTGTGCTAAACTATTATGATCAAACTATTATTTAATAATATTTTAAATTTATTTTTTAGGGACAGTATGGGAATTACCAGCAATGAACAAGTACCTACATTCCAATAGCCAGTACCTATTAGCAGCCATATTGTCACCTCAACACTGTGGACACCTCCCTGTGAAGAGATCCTTTCATTCCATCTAGTTTTTTGGAAAAACTGTGGATAAGTGGCTGTTTCTTCAGTAAGCAGCCTTTGTGGCTTGTTGTAAAAGGCTTTAGTAGCTCAAAAATACTTTTGATTTCACATTTCTACTCTAGATGGCAACATTGGACAGAAAATACATTGACATAACCAATTTGCAATGATTTCGGAACTGTTTCAAATAGACTGTTACAGACTGAAAGGTGTGAACAGCTTTGTATGTTTATGAAGGTTAAGGGAATTTAATACTTTTCCACAGATTCTTTTTTAAGGGGAAGAGGGAAATGTACACTTTTTACAGCAGCAATATTTTGTATATTATGTTTATTTCTTGTGAATATGCAAGGCAGAACACTACGCACTGGGCAGAATCAGAAATCCTCTGTTAATGTGGATTGGAACATGGTAGATGCTTGACTGTGTTGGTTTCAAAATGGTGTACTGTGAAGAGAAAGGTGAGGGAGAAGACAAAGCACACCATATGTCCACTAGTATGTTCTTAGAGAGGAAATTTAAATCCCTTTTATCTGTCAGATAGTCAAGGGCACTGTGATACCATTTCAAGTAAAAGGACATTTTAAAAAAGCCTTCCATTTTTGTGGATTAAAAACCTTTTTATAAAGCTCATTTATAGTGCAGTTTTAAAATGTGAGGCAATAATTACTTCATATTGGACCTGAAGAAGCTTTGGTAATAGTTTCATGTAAATGAAATGGTAATCCTCCCCTAAAATAGCAATAACTTAAAACAGAAGTATGAATTTTACTTTGAGCAATCAGGGAATTTAGTAAGTAATATCAAATAATTTTATAAGTACTATCAAAGAAGAGTCAACATTGAGTAATTTTATTTTTTAACATTACAAGGATAATTGGTTTATATAATAAAATAGTATAGGAGACTTCTTTAAAACCTTTGTTTCAACTTTTTAAACTGGAACTAATGCTGTTTATAAAGGGACACTTTTATGCTTTTCCCTTTTTTATGTTGGTTCATGTAAGACAAAGATGTTGATGAGGTTTTACCTTGATCTGTATTAAAAGCATAGAGGCTGCATGCTAGATCACTGTGTTTATCAACATGGCACCTTAAATCATTATTTGAGATCATCCTGTGCCTGATTATTTTAACTAAATTCAGGGAAGTTGAAATGGGCAGGAGAGCATGCATAGAGAGTTTTGAAAATACTGTTATTTAGGCATAGTCTGAAAACATCCATTCCAAAGGTAAGTTGCTATTTTCATCACAGTTGCCTATGCCCAGGGAATATATCTTCTTTATAATTGAATTTGGTTTTCCCCACTTCTAACTGGAAACGAAACAGAAGGGGTGCCATAAATTTGAATAAGTGAAATGTTCTGTCCTCAACATTCTGTAATCAAAAGGAAGGATTTCAGTATGTCTGTGTGTATGTGTGTGGGAGAGAGCTTACATATGCGTTTTAAGATCAGAATAGGTTTGCTCCCCACCCCCAAGTTGGTCAGTAGAAAATGACATCAAGGTTTGAACAGATAAAGCATAGACAGCCTTATTGTGATTGAAGTACTTGTAGGTTCTGTGCCAAGTTTCCACCACTGTGTACTTTGTTGCTATTTAAAACTGTATCAACTCTAATGGAAGAATAAATTATTTGTGATTTTAATTTTCTCATTTGTTTCTTTAAATTAGATCTCTTTAACTTTCTTGTTTCCTCTGGAGATTATACTGTGGATTTTTTATTTAAGTTAGGCCAGTATAAGCAGACAATATTTGTATTCTAGGAGTTTATCAAAATTCTCTTGCCATGCCCAAGTTAATTAGAATTAACTGTTCCGTAATCAGCATGTTGTGTAGGCTGTTTGTTATAGGAGTCTTTCTCTGAAAATAAAGTCCATGAGGCTATAATCAAGATGACTGAATTAGATAAATGAGTTGAAGAGACAAAATTGTGCTGAACCCAACCTGGTGTAGATATGTTATCTCATTTGAAATAAGCTCAACTGACATTAAGAAATAATTTGTCTTGCCAACCCATCTTCTGTTGTCTTATTCTCCTTTTAATGGAAACTAAAATTGCAATTTTAATAAACAGAATTTCCTCTAGGACTTTGTTCCTGGAGACGAGTGCATTTGCAAGGTTTAATTGTTTTGTAACAGTCCTATTTTGTAAACGTTTTTAATTGGTGGCGACAAAAATTACCTTACTCCTCTGATACCTAGTAAGAAAGTAATTTTATCAGTAGCTTTCTACAGAATATGACATTTCCATATAGATGATATATTCTAAAGCTTTCTTTTCCTGAAATTTAAATTTTATTAAAGTGTATTATAATAAGTATTATACATTCTCTAAACTTTGATAAGCAGAAAAATAGATTACTAAGAAAAAAGCCAGGCAATTATTGTTCAACATTAAAAAATTCTTAACTATGCTAATTATTGCTCACATTTAAAAGTATTTAACTGTGTTAGTTTAGTTGTTTGATAAATTAGTATTATTCTTCAGCACTATGGTGACACATTATTTTTTGTTTTGTTTTCAACCTCTTTGTCGATTTTTCAAACATACACCAAAGCGGAGAATGCCTCGTGTACCACTTAGCAACTTGTGACCAAGCTTGTGACATCTGTGCACAGCCACAAATTAAATATCTTAACTAGGATCTCTAAAAGATAAGTACTCTTTTAAAAACTTTATCTTGGAAGACCTGAAGAACACTCCTATTCCCCAAATTCTGCATTTTCAATGTTATCTTTGAGCGAGACGCCATTGTGAAATCTGCAGAATCCTGATAATCTTTCAATATTCTTTCTTTAGTAACCCCCAGTTAATACCCCCCCCAGGTTTTAGCTGGGTTCCCCGCTGCCCAGAGACCATACTTAACAGCTTCCTTTGTAGCAGGTATCACTTTTTAAGTGTAGATTGATGAGTTGAAGTGGTGGTTAGCAACATTGAAAGCATGCTTCATTTTATCATTTTCATTCCATGACCTGGAACGTGATCGATTGGTTGGGAGGTTGGGCCTCATAGAGGTTTAAAAGTAGTCTTGACATTGGCAATAGATAAAAGTTGGAAGACCCTTGAATGACCTCGTAGTCTTTTCCTCTGTACTGTCCACCAACTTGGACTTTGACATGAGAGAAAAATAACACCTCTGAATAAGCTCCTGTATTTTGGGGCCCTTGATTATACTAGCAAAGACTATACACTAATGTAGGGTCATGTAGAGGAGAACCAGCTCAGACTAACGTATGACATAACCTGCATGGTATCATATTTTATAGGAGTAGCATATTGTATACATGATATGCACCATAACAATTTAGTTCATATTCTTTACTAATAAAGTGGAACAGAATGGTTTAGCATTTCAAGATTACCATCACCACCATCCCTGTCATCACTTGAATGAATTAGAATGCTGTATGTAAGACCAGTTAATTTAGTTAATTTCAGAGTATTGGCAAACTATATGCTTAATGCTTGTAATTGTTTTGGCATCTGTATCCTTAAAAATTTTCTACATGGCATGTTTTCTAAGCACTTACATGGAAATTGTGTGAAAATACCTTCTAAAGTCTCATATTTTGTTTTTGTTTTTAAATTTACATATATATGTGTGTGTGTGTGTATATATATATATATATATATAATCCTTTGTGCTTTGTAATTTTTCCTGAAGCACTTCTTGTTTTTGTTTTTTACTATGTGATGTGTATATTTTGATTTTCATTTCTCTGTCATTTTTGGGGGGGTGGCAGAATTGGTACACTAAAAGTATTTTTAAACCTTTAGTTGATGTCGACTTATAGCCCCCCTGTAGCACTGTGAGTTTCGGAGACTAGCTGTTACAAGAATAGGAAGCCCCCATGTCTTTCGCCCCTTGAGCTGTTAGTGGTTTCCAACTGCTGACCTTGCAGTTAGCAGCCAAACTTGTAACCACTACATCACCAGGGCTCCTTATACCTGTTGCGGCCCTTACCATTTAGCTTGTATCCATGTAGAGAGGTTTGCTTTGGTTTTGTCTAAGGAGTTATAATACTATTAGCTATGGGAGGATTTGTTTTGGAATAAATATTTTTGCAGACTACTGTACGCATTTGGGAAGCCCAGGTAGTACAGTGTGTAAGCGTTTGGTTGCTAACCACAGGATTGGGTTGCTAATCCAGTCGCTCCTCTGCTGGAGAAAAGTGTGGCACTTTGTGTCCATAAGGATTGTAGTATTGGAAACCCAATGGGGCCAGTTCTATAATGCCTGGTCGTGCTGCTCTGAGTCAATATTGTATAGATGTGGCCAAACTAACCAGAATTCCCGACAGCAGTGTATCAAATTCTGTTTATAGCTAGCTCTGTAGGATTTTATCTTCTCTTCTATGAAGATGGCTATCTGAGGGAATGGTTTCTATTAATGTTTAGTAAATTAAGAGCAAGGAAGAGTGGTTGTACCTATCTTTTCAGTACTAAATAGCATTCTATCCATAGGAATCCTATTTCCTGTTCAATTTCAGTATCCCATTCTTTCCCAAGATCTTGATTCACAGCAAGCTTTCATACTTCAAGTTCTACATGTTAGTGCTCATTCCCACATAAACACAACCATTCTGAAAACATGAACTGATATTAATTACCCCCTTGGCACCAAAAAGTCAGGATTTCCTGATGCGGCACGCTAATGTAAAATGCATTAGTGCAAATGCTGGCTCCAAGGGGTAATACTCTCTAAATAAACACAGCAATGTTTTTCTTTATTCACAACTCTCAGGCTATTCTGAAAGTCGTTCATCCTCCACACTCTCAAAAAAGAATTTTGAGTTTTAATAAGCCATAACTGGATTTTCAGAAGAAGGAATTAAATTTCAAGCTGCAAATCAGTGGTACTTAAGTCTTTTTGGTTCCTTGAAATAAAATCGCCCTAAATGTTCTGGTGATTAAATGACCTTGAACTGTAATTTGAAATAATCCATTGGAGGAGAATAATAATGTTTTATGTTTAATCATTACTATGACTAAAAAAGTAATACACAGTCTGACTTAATTTATTTAGAAATAGAAAATTAACTTTTGTTCAATTTTTAGTTCACTCACTTAAACCCAGAAACTGTGTGTATCGGTTTTATTTGTTTTGTCTTGATGTGTGTATATATTTGATATTCCTTATAGACTCTGGTTAAGAAGGTTTTATTTTATGCTTTCACACACACACAAACACACACACACACTCTCTCTCTTTCTTTAGTCTGGGTTCTTGAGAGAAACAAAACCAGCAATATATTTAGTGAAAGAGAGAAAGAGTTTTATCTGAAGGAAATGGTTCACATAATTGTGGAGGCTGGCATGCCCTAAATCCGTAGGTCAGGTATCAGACTGGAGGCTTCTCCAGACTCACATGGTTGCAGAGGCTGACAGACCCACAAATGGCTGGTTAGATGACACACCCTTTATTTACAGGTCTGTAGACACAGGCAAATCCCAAAGTCAACTGGTCGGATGTTAGGTTAATGGTGGCTCAGAGAGTGGCAGAAATTGGCATATTATAGAAGTCCTGGAACTTCTAGATCAGATAATAATGAGTTGGTGCCAGATCCAGAGCAATAGGGGATCTTGTGAAGGTTTTCTCCATACATCAGAAGTAAGGTGGGACTTGAGCAACGATAGGATTACTAAGGCTACAATTCAAGATGCACTCCATACTAATCCTATCTCACTAACATGTTATAGAGGATTTATAACATGGAATGGGAGATAATTTAATCAGATCACAAAGTAGAGGACCATCATACAGCACAGTGAATCATGGCCTATCAATTTGACACAGTAACGCATACACCTCTACTAATGCACAGTAGAATAATAGATGAAACTAAAAGACCAAGTCTAATCGGTAATTACACTCAAACCAGCTAAACATCCTTATGGAACAGAAATGAAATAAAAAATGTAAATTGTTAAGACTAAAACCTTCTCCAGGGTTCTGACTCTAGATAACGATAGTTTAGAAGCACTTGGAAAATTAGTTCCTTGGAGTAATACCAAAATAAAACAAAACCCACTGCCATTGAGTTAAATGTCAACTTACAGCAGTCTTCTATAGGATATACGACACTTAATCAACAGCTGGGGATTTGAACCACTGTCTTGGCAGTTTGCAGCCCACTGCCAAGCTCACAGTGCCACCAGAGATCCTGTGGCGTACTAGAGACTACAAATATGCAAAGTCAAATACTGGAGTTAATTTTACACCTTGAAGCTAGAGGGTGGAATGGAGATTTCCATTTACTGTTTCCATTTTTCAAAAAAGAAGCTTATAAAAGACCTTGCTGCTGCTAACCACTACAATGAGACCTTGTTTTGAATTCTGAGCCTAATGACGCTTGTTGCTAACTGCTGTTGAGTTGGCCCTTAACTCACTGTGTCTCTGTACAATGGCAGGAAATGCTTCCAGATTCTTCAGCATTACATGATATATGCTGTAGAGTGGACCATTATGATCCACAGGGTTTCCACTGGCTAAGTTTTGGAAGTAGATTATCAGGCATTTCTTCCTAATCTGCTTTAGCCAGGGAGTTCCACTGAAACCTTTTCTTCATGACTACACACAGTCCACCACTGATAGAAAGGTGGTCATTGTGCATGGAATGAATTGCCAGGGGTTGAACTTGGGC